AACTATAGGATCGCTTGAAGTTAGGCTGAACAAACGTGGTAAAAAGTACAAAACGCTGTTTTACAAAAGTGGCGACCAGGGTCAAGCTTGGCAGCTGGCCACGRCAGATTTGAATGTTCCGGGGAAATACGAGGTGTGTTAACAATGAAAATTTTCCTACTTTCCAAATATCCCTTGTGCGCAAGTGAGCTTCGACCACAATTTTGTCTGAATTCTTTCACGCTGATTGGTTCATTAGAGTGTACTATCTTAAGCTTATGCTCCACAAGCAAGCGTTTGTTAATCAATTAATGTGTCATTTGTCACATAAAACATAAAAGGAACCTGAAACGCATGCATTGCATATACCTGAACAACTTGAAAATTCAGTMAGTKTCCGTGAAGATCGAATTGAATAAAGATTGATAAGATGAAGGGTTTTACAAGTCCATCTCTTCTTTTAAACCATCGACATMGGCAACTTTKTGTCGGAAAATTTYATCGTCGCTCGAGGGTATAAAGCGCACGCTCAGTTGGRCTGAAAGAATTAATCGCAGTTGATGAAATGAAATGAGGTTATGAAARGAGTKGGTCGAGTCTTAATCTGTCATTGGATTTTTTTACACTCATAGAGCACATTCCAATCCTTAATTTATGAGCTTTGTAATTMTGATATTTCAGATWGAATTCATTGCAACAGTTGGTCAGCGKGGYTACTCAGACATCGCAATTGATGACGTGTATATTGACGATGGGAAATGCTGTGAGTAAATTGACTATACGTCGATGTACTGTAGCTATATATAAGCTTAACTGACCATGGAGCCGTTTTATAGAAAACAATGCTATTGCCGTATTTATGATGTTGCAGTCGCTAACGATAAAAGAACAATAGGTGAATAAGCCGCATTTCTTTGGTTTTGCGACAATCATTATTATTGCCGCTAATCAAAGACAAACCAAAAACAATAAAGTTAGAAAGTGAATGGTTATGTATAGGTTAAAGTGGCGGGAAACAGGCTTATCAAGATCGTTACGACAAATATTATAAAGATGTTCACGGATACGATCGCCCAGACGACGGCCAGTCTCGCCGACTAATTTAATATCAAAGAGATCTGCAATCCTCAAAAAATACGTAAGATCTTATAGCTATACATAATTATTTTATTTAATGGAATGCTGAAAATCTTTCTTTAAACTCATTTCCCCAGCGTGCCAGGACAAGTACGCATCATGTGTCAAGTGGTCAGGAGAARGTGAATGCCAGAAGAACAAGAATTGGATGTCRAAACACTGCGGGAGGAGCTGCAAGAYATGCCCTGGTGGGTAAGGGGTGGGGATGGATTTTTCATAACCTCCACGACCAGAAACTAACCTTRTCCAGACCAGAACGACAAAATTGTAACCCCAGAAAGAGTTAATGGTGGTCATTTTATTATTTCAACAGTAACAAAAAATTGTAAGGACTTGAAGCCGGAAGTTCAATGTCAAATATGGGCCGAGAGAGGGGATTGCAAAACAAGCAAAGTTTGGATGTACAAAAACTGCCCAAGAAGCTGCGGGATATGCATAGGTTTGTCAAGTACTATGAATCCACAAGAAATATTGATTATTAGAAATCAGGACTTCAGCTAACAACAGATCTTTTTAAYAGCTGCTGAGTGCAAAGATTCAAACAAAGTTCAATGTCCATTGTGGGCAAAGAAAGGGGAATGCAGTAGAAACAAAATCTACATGCATAAATATTGTAAAAAAAGTTGCGGTATATGCAAAGGTAAGTAGGAATAAAATGGGGCTCAATGCTGACAGGTTTACAATATAAATTATCAAGTTATAAAACCATGGTTTGTGAGGTTTTACGATTGCTTTCAAAATTTATATATGTCCCCCGCCTTCTTAAAATATTAGCCATCATAATTTCAGCTAGAAAGATATCATCGTTTGTTTGTTTTTAGCAGTTGCTGGGTGCAAAGACTCAAAAAAAGTTCAATGTCCATTGTGGGCAAAGAAAGGGGAATGCAGGAAAAACAAAACCTTCATGCATAAATTTTGTCAAATAAGCTGCGGTATATGCAAAGGTAAATCAATAAAAAGTGCTCAATGCTAACAGATTGACAATAGAAAGCAGCCACAATCTTTGACAAAAATGTTGAGAATATATATTCTGTTCAGGGCAGTTCAATTACAGAAAGCGTGCTCCAGCCCCTCCCCTCCCCTAAATTAGTGTTGTTGGCAACCAAGTACCTGAYGRCTAGCTTGTGCAAATTATTTCCAAATTGAACTCGAAAACRTGAACCGAATAAATTCCTATGCAGAATCACAGGTCACCCAAGACCRATTCTTTAGATTTTGAACTCGTGGCGTCGAAGTACGAACCGTGGGTTCGATCCTCTTCTGGAGCACGTCGAAAAAATGTTTTGTTTTGTTTTGTTTTGTTTTTTGTTTGTTTGTTTGTTTTTTAACTGCATAAAATACTGTCGTTTATATATATCAGTATTCACCTATTCCTGAAACGGTTTGTTTTCGAGCCGATTTTTTTAATTTGAAATCCCTACTTGGTTTACTTAAAACATTGTTTTTATCTCTGTCAGGGTAGTTTCTAAAAGAGAAATAAAGACAATCCTGGAGAAGAGGTCAAGCAGGATATATACTTGTAAAATAAACTAATTATCAACTTAACGATGTACAAAATAAACATTCTTGTCTTACATGGCTCGGTTATTGTCCATATTTAATACAGATACAATTTTATTTGATTTTAGCAACATTACCGTTTTGATAAATGTTCATTTTCTCATAAAGCCGATCTTGAAAGGTCGTCCACCTAAAAAGACAAGGGACAGTACTAGTCTCCCATAAAGTTTTAAAAAAGTATTTCCTTCAATATAACACACCTAACATTCTAATCCATTTGAATACGCGAACAGAAAATGCATATTTTCATAAGTTACATCGTCTATTGGAATAATGTAAATAACGTTTTATTAGGTGGACAGTCTTTTCAAGATCGACTGTATAAGCAGAAATATTTGTTGATTACCACTAAAATGATGGATTTTGACATACTTTTTTAAGTGAAAACTAACTTTTCACCCAAAATGTGTATATAAAAGATAGAAATTTTTTAAAAAACGATGTGCTACAAAAAATGAATTTCGTACTTGAAACCTTGTTGAGTCTCGAACCCTTAACCATTTGCCTCTGAGTTCATTGCCTATTTAACATTGAATGTTAAGTAACAATGCGCGCAAAAAGCAAGCAATTTTCTATTGTTCTGCGGCATTGCAACTTCCGCACATACGAATGTTTTGGTTCTCGCACTGATTATATATCAACCTATGTGTAACACATTTTTAAAATAAAATGTGAATAAACTTTGTTTTGAAACAAAGTTTCTTTTGACTTTTAATACAAAAAAAAAAAAGATCTTGTCCAATCATAAGCACTCAAAACAATAGCCAAAAAATGCTTCTAATTTGCTAATGTTCCCCACATAGAATTGCTATTGATATAAAAGCTAAGGAAAGCTTTTATGAAGTCGGAATCAGATATTAAATAAAATATTAAAAAATGCGCTTACATTTGAATTATGTCAAATTTTAATGTTTTAACCAATGAGATGGATGGTTTATACAATACAAAATTAGCACCTTCGTGCATTCCATTGGCGTTTGCTTGCCTGCTTCTTACTTTCTTTTTATCTCGAGTTTTTGTCTCAAAAATTKTTTGTTTAATGCTCTTCRTCTAACATACTCTTAAAAAARAGGAACAACGTTTTACACGGAGCAAAAGCCATGTCATAGGAGACCCAGACGTTGTGACATTGGCTTTGCTGATATGGCAAAGGTACTGAAACTTGAATTAAAAATATATATACAGATGCAAATCTCCAGGCCAGTATTAAAATTCCAAATAGCCTAAATAAAGTTTGCATTAAGCCAACTTAAAATTCTAAATTTTGAATGATCATGGTAGTGATCGTGTAGTGATAGAGGGTTTCCGTAGTCCAGTTYTAAGTCCGAGTCCTGACCTTAGTTTCGATCCGCTGCTCCTCCTCGGCGCGAGTCCGAAAGTATTTTCGCTGCGTTGAGATCAGTTTTAGCTATACTTGTCCAATACATGACTTTATTCAGTCAAATATGACGTTTTGTWGTGTTTTTCGTTTTTTGACCCAAATCTAAAGACCACTGCAACATATTTTAATTTCGGACTTTGCATTTGATTTTCTAAAGGCTTTGATAAAAAATGTCGCGCCTATACTGTTAAGAATATTATACCACGGGGATTCTATTCCATTATATTTTTTTAATATCACTTTTGTATGAACTTGAAAAAGTGATCGAATGACACGAAGCTGTCAATAAAAAAACGATCACTTTTCAAATAAAATAAAGGATGTYTATACTGTATATGTCAGCCAATAAGATAAGAGAATTTTCAAAAGGATTGTAACGGTCACGGTAGTATTAATCTACTTAACCCCTTGTAAAACCACTCAGAAACACGATAGACACGATAGAGACGATTGAGTACCGGCAACGTCTTCTGCATACATCGTGAAAATGTTCTCTTGTGGAGTTTTGGTATTGGCATTATTTGTATACTGTAAAGAATCTATCTTAGCAAAGCCTATGGCTGATGTTGAGACGGTACARGATGTGTTTAATGAAGAATTTGAAGGTCAGTAGTGCCGGCGGCCCGCAGATTACTATGATACGCGCCAACGAGCAAATAAGCATCAAAATCATGCCTATGTTCAGCAAGACGTCAATTTCCAAAGATCATTGTACAAGAAGCTATCAGTCTATATCCTGTGCATGTTAGTAGAATTTCATCTCTAACCAACTGTATAAGCCATATATTATTCACTTTATTTACGTTCGTTTAACTTAGCAGACTTCCTTGACYTACATGGACGTTATGAAATAACGTTAAACATAATTTACTTATTTTTAGCAATTTTCATCAATCTAATCCAAATCAATCAAACTAACTAATACATTTTTGGCTCAATAACTTATTTTTCAACGGATTTTATAATGGTAGTTAAGTCGTGACCTGTAAGCGCGCCATTTACGGGTCATTAACGTACCTTTTATAGTCGTTGGTAATGACCGGGTTTTACCCATGCTTCAGCCACGTGAAAATTAATCCTAGAGCTCTAGAACCTAAAACCGCGCAGTTGRAAACGATGTTAAAAACTTTTCAATTTCAATTTGGTAGGATTGTTTGTGTCTTTTTGATTAAATAAGACGTGTACRTTCATAATTTTTAATTTGTTAATGCTTTGTGCTACCAAAGTAAGCTTTGAAGCAAATRAATAATTTTTAATGTTGAACATGAGCCAAAAGGGTTGCACCGTGAGAGCATATGGTCGAGAAAACAACTACAGCTGCGTTCTTTATTGAAAACTTGTACTATAAATCTTTATTGACAACCAAATGAGAAAATATATAATATATTTGGCAAAAGTAATCCACTGTGCACGAAATGCCGATGTAGTTCTGAATAGTGGACATAGGTGTGTGCTCTATTCATGCTCTATATGAAATGATGTTTGCTTCGAAGGAGAATGTGAGCAGCAGGAGGGATTTTTTTCAAAGCTTTCCAGACGTAGTTAGGGTCAATTATCTRATTATTGCAGCGCGTACGCAGGCTTGGAGTGAAAACGATTGGCGTGTTCGTCTGATACGCAGATACTTCGTACTTATAATGCTAAATTTTTCAAATTTTGGGAATTCGTTTTCAAGAGTACTTTTATATTCAGAAGTCATACGTAGAAATAACATCTTATTTTGGTTCAGGTTAGTCATAGTCTGGAAAATAGCTAGGAAAATAGCAAGCGATTCTCGGAGGTCATATGTAGTATTGCGTACTTTGCACGCGTATATCACGCTACGCATCTAAAAATTGAGAGTATTTTACTTTCAAGTCCACATTGCAAGGCTCCTTTTCATTTCCAGAACCCCTCCCATCCTACAACATTACATTTATAGAGTGCACGCCACATAAGCGTGAAATAATTCTTAATAATTAGCGTTTAATAAGATTTAGTTATCAACTAACTAACAATTTAGTGAGGCATAAACAAGACRAGTTTCCTTTCTGGCATTGTGTTCATGCCCCAGTGAATCAGTTCTTAGTTAGTTGATAACTAAATCTTATTAGATGTTGATAGTTAAGAATTGTTTCATTCTATTTTGGCGTGCACTCTATTGGCCAAATACGACGATATCATCCGTATTTGTAATCTGGAAACCCTTCTTTTAACAATTCAGATATGACAAAAAAGAAAAGTAATAAGAGGTGTGGCAGGCAAAGATGTTTAAGCTTCCGAGTTGGTTGCCGCYAAATTAAGACGAGACTCGGTGAATAAGCTAAAATGAAAATCTGTATGGATTGGAGAAAATAAACTAATAGAAATAAAAAGTATATTAACTTGAAAGTGTAACTATATATTCAAACTCAATTCTTAGTTTGTTTAATGAGTTTTTTCATTTTTTTTTTTCATCAGTAATTCATTATTTAGCTRTTGATGTATCTGGCATATTATAGTCGTGATCCATTTTTTTGTCATCCTGTTGCTGTTTTTGTTGTTGTTGTTGTCGTCGTCGGTTTTGTTGTTGATATTATTTGTGTTTTTATTTATTATCATCGATATCATAAAATGTGTTGATCATTTTATAACAGATAATGCTGAACAACAAGGATTGCTTAAAGATCAAGAACTCATGGACATTGCAAACAGAGGTTAATAAACTTAATTAACAATATGCACGCCATCTTTAATTTGAATGAAAGACGGGAAAAAATATTATACATTTGAATGTTTCAAAAAAGTAATTCGAATATTGTAGCACGAAATCAATCTATGTTGTCAGAAAAAGGAATATTTTGGTACCATTCTTTAAAAGAAGTCGACTGTGAGTCACTTTAATGGTATATCGATCAAATATTTTAATTTATATCTATTCTTTGCTSCATCAGAATACGAAACGATTCATGGCAGGATCTTAGCCATTAACATGGCTACTTTAGGAAAGAGACGACTACAGTCAAGCCCCAGAACAGGAAATGCTTTTGAAAATATAGAAAATGTAAACGACGGTAAGATAACTGCATACTGTGTATGGTTGCCGATTATCTAAAATAGCTAAATGACATTTTTCATTGATGATTCTTTATTTTGTTACATGATACATTGATATTTTTATCCATCTGTTTGTCCGTGGGTTGGGCACTCCTATATTTGGAAGGCTTGGGATGATCATCGAATCTTTTATGGGTAAAAACAGGGATCTGTTATCTTTTAGGGTGTCTCAATGGTTTTCTGGTCACCACCAATAATCGTATCTTTACGATTATCAGCATAATACGAAAAGAAGACAACAGCGTCAGTCAGCTTACTCATTTTCATTCGCTTCAATCACGTTTAATCATCAAACATATTTAGCTTTTATCCTCATAGCCTGATTCTTTATCTCGGAGTCATCCGCCCTAACTAACAAACTAACAGGTTTCTTTTAGGGGTACGGTATTCTTCATTGTAGAACTCATTAATAATTCATGAGCTATTAGTCCAATCAGAATCCAACTATTGGGTCACATGATGGACCTTTATATCCCGATAAAGCACTGATGTTTATTAATCAGTTCTATATCAGATATAAAGAACTGATGTTCAAGGTCATCAGCGCTTTATCGCAACCCAACACTAGCAAAGGTATCAGTTTTAATGTCGCATCATAGACCTTTGCTAGGTTTTAAATCATTTTGAATCAATGTGCAGATATGCAGTATAGCATAGACTAGCCGTTCTTACGTGTGGGATCAAAATTCTTTTATTTGTGACCAATGCACATGCTTAGTAGAAGTTTAACATGCATAATCTCTGTTTTCGCATTTATTAGCTTTTTTCTAAAATGATAACAATTTCTGGATGTTGGAGTTCTAGAAGTAGTATAAAAAACTCGCAGTCGTGCTTTGGCCTCGTGTCTATATCTCCCGATAAAGCACTCCTGCTCGTTTTTTAAACACTACCTAAAACATCATCCCCACCGTAAATACAAAGGATACCACCGTGCTTTCTGTGTCAAATGCAAAAACGTAAATTTGATTCTTAATCACATCTTTATTAAGATGTGCTTGTAATTTTATATCAATTTTAATGGATAATAAGTGGAATGCTTGACAATGATAATATAATGTTTCTTACTGAATTTGAAATTTA